AATTGAAAAAGCATAAACTGAAATGAAGAATTCCTAATTATAGTTTGCTTTGAGATATTAATTTTCCGCCATAATGAATGCATAATTCTTCAAACTAGAAAAAGAAACGCTTGCATTAATGTGTTAACTGAAGATACAACCAGGAATTGTCATAAGTGCATAGTGAAGATACAAAAGAAACCAATTAGAGTGTAAGTGTAGTACACCAAGAGTTCTTTTGTCTATAAGAACTAGTTAACAAAAAAAATTACAGAAAGTTTATGTGGATTCTTGTGAACTTTGGGAATAATAAAATTTATAGAATACATTTCATGGGCTTATCATCATTCATGCCTTGGTGACTTCTCAGTTGGACCACTACAATGCACTCTACTTGGGGCTGCTCTTGAAGACCAAAAATATTACAACTTATCCAAAATATGTGAAACTATATGATATAGCTCTTGGTTTGCCTATATCATACTGCTGTTGAGCAAGCTGTACTGGCTCCTAGTTTTGTTCTAGCTTCTAGTGTAAATTCAAGGTGTTGATTATTTTAAGCCCTATCTTTATCAGGGCCAAGCTATTTGTGGGACCATCTCTTCCATCAGGTTTGATAGGATGAGCATGCTGCAGACCCCTTCCCTTCAATGCCATTGTCTAGAAGAACCTAGGAAGCTCCTTCTTCCATAGTAACTCTTCATTGAGATCCACTTCTACCAAAATATAGAGTTGGCTTTTCTTTCATGTATTAAAATAAATTGAGGTTGGAATTTAGACAGTGTCCTGCTCAATGGATTGGATATTCTTGATTAAAACTCTAGGTTTTGCATCTTACTGTATTTTTATTATTCTCATAAACCTGCCAAAATTGTATTTCATAAATGGGTGTCCATATAAATCCAAATAAATGTTATTGTTTTAGGTCAGTATTTAAAATGGGATTATAACCATTATTTAATCCTTTTGATACTGCATGATCTTTTGCAATAAGTATTTGAAATAGTGACTTTATTTCCAACAAGTCTTGCATAGAATGTAGGTTTAAGTTCAATGATACCCAGAGTTTTAGTAAGGTGGATCTATCCCTGTGCTTGTGTTTCAATGTTTCCTTGCATTGTTCATAGTAAACTCATTTAATTGGGAGACAAGAAGTTTCTTGCTTTGTAAATGTCCTGAGCAAAATGTAATGGTTCCACTTCCAAGTTAATGGTAGAATCTTTGGTAGAAACCAGATTTCAATTACTTTGTTATTCTTGTCATCCAAAATATCCATTTTCAGGAGTAAAATTGAAAGACAACAAAGTTTTGTTGCTCATTTCTGATGGTAGTTTTCATAGCTATATGTTACAATTGTTGTCATCAGAATAATGTATCTATGCAATTTAACATTTTTCTAGATTTATCATCTTTCTCTAAAATTGAAGCCATCTCTTTATTTTATGGTCACAGTTCAATTTTTCTATGAATTTTTGAGCTTAAGAAAATAAAGGCTGTTACCTCTTCATCTTTTTGCATTGGGTTGGCATTGCACATTAACATAATTGTTTAGCAAGTGGATGGACATATAAATCAGGTAACAAAATAAATAATAAATTATAGCTAACAGCATGCTAGCTTCTTTCATCTTCAACAAGTTTTTTTTAAGACTTCCTTATCTCTATTCAAAAGGTCTGGGACTGTTAATATTTCTTCTAGCAATTTTAACGTCAATGTCTATTTCTTTTAGTCCAGGATTTCTTTTGATACAAGGGATTAAAGGGTCACAAAAATAAAAGGTATGGTAACAACTGTGGTATATTCAGTTGTTCCATATTTTATATTAAAAACTATACAGAAGAGTTTAAGCAGAATTTTCATTACTTGAGCCCAATCTCTAACAGAATCTGGCTCATTGAAATCGTTATGCTTAATATCCATTATATTACAGTTGGAAATTTCCTTACTTTAACATAAATTTGGCATATACACCTCTAATTTGTGCATGTAAGTTATTTTTTCAATTTCTGGGCATAATTACAATTTGGGCTTTGATCCTGAATCCAATTCAGAGTGAGGCATTGTTTGAACTTATCAAGACAGAACAGAAGTGGTCTTCTTGATTTTCCATCTCTGATAACATTATTTGGGACCTTAGCACACAGGAAAAGATAATGTGTACAGGGTCTTAAGATAAAAAGAAGGTTTTAAAACATAAAGTATTATATTTTTGTGTCTTCTAATATAAAAATGCCTTGATATCAAGGAATATTGAATTAAGATAGTGATGCATTTTGAAACCAAAATAAGCAAAAAATACTACAGAGAAATTTAGCACTCTTGCTACCCTTGTAGGTTTTGATGAATTCATGTGAAAAATAGGAATGAACTCTATTATGATAGATGCAAGCTTTCTGATAATAATTTAGACAGCTATATTTTTTCAGAATTCTAGATGCTACTTAATACATTATATATGACATTAAATTAACTGGGAAAATTAATGTTTATTGAAGAGTTGCCAAACTCTGCTAAAAAGACAGCAAATCCCATTCAACAAGTTTTCCATTTCTTAGATAAATTGATTAAAGATAATGTAAGAGGTAGAAAATTGTCTGCCTCCCCTCACACAGCAAACAGAACAAATGAACAAATTCTACTTTATTGTAGGGCTACATTGACAGAAATATGCAAGTCTGAAAGTACAAATCTCCCTTTGTCTCTTTTTACAGACTGAGAAGTTAGGGAAGATTTTTCCCAGTTTATTTCTCTGCTTGTTATGCAGCTGCAGGAACCTGTCTCCATCCCCACATATGATTGTGCTCTAGCAGTATCTCATCACCACTACCATCTCCAGTCTCCCAAAGTCGTTTTCACATACTATTGGAGAAGTCATAGGAACTGAATTGTTCCAGATATCTTGATATCATTTCTTATTTATTTCTTTTGTGTGTGTGTATGTGTGTGTGTGTGTATGTATGTATGTATGTATGTATGTGTGTGTGTGTGTGTGTGTGTGTGCTTGTGTGTGTAATTTAGAATTGTAAACAACCCTGCTGTCAAATGTTTTAGCCGGGAGGCTCTGAAGAACAATATTCTCCCCTTTCAGGGCATTTAATAAGAAAAAAAATACCCACACCTTTCTTATGAACTTTCTACAGCTGTTACATACATCATTAGGAAAGGATATATTAAAACACTTGGACATTAAAGAACACATACAACCATTTTAAGCAATGCCATGCTGTTGAATCAATAGGATTAATCTGGAATAAGACTCACTCAGAATTAATAGCCTGTTTTCTCACACACACAATAGATGGAGGAGTTCCCTCAAAGGCAAAGTACATTTCAAAAGCACAGTATTTAAAGAAATGTTCTTCCTCTGTCTCTTGGCAAAAATTCTCATTGCACAACAAAACAAAATAAAACAAAATCTTGTAGAGCTATTGTTCTCCACTTTTTTCTTCTTGGCTCTTTGATTCCTCCTCTTAGATCAGGTCTCCAATCTGCTTCTCTTCTTAGTTTCTTCCTGGCTGTTCAAACTTTGATTTATTTTTATTTTTAATTTTATTTGGTTTGTCAATTGCTTACAAGATAATAGGTATAAGTAAAAACATAGTTATGAATACATGGATACATATAAGAAAAATAAAAGAAACAATAAGATAGGGACGGTAGGCACGTTGGTGCGCTTATGCACGCCCCCTACAGACCTCTTAGTAAAGGGTGAGGTCAATAGTAGAAAGTCTAAGGTTAAAGTTTTTGGGGTTTGGGGAAGAAACCACAGAGTCAGGTAGAGTATTCCAGACATTGATCACTCTGTTGCTGAATTTCCACCCAAGAATATCTCTCTCTGTCTCTCTCTGTCTCTGTCTCTCCCTCTCCCTCTCCCTCTCCCTCTCCCTCTCCCTCTCTCTCTCTTGTAAAGTTACTTTTTCAGCATGGTCATAAATTCAAATTGTCATTAAACAGGACATCAATAAACAAGAACTGCTTGTATTTTTCCAACTCTTGCATTCAATTTCTTGCCATTCTACTTTTGAAGACAGACTCACCCTCCAGACTCTAGGGCTTTTTGAACTAAAACACTTAGGACCAGAAGGTATAATTATAAGGTATTGTGATTATGGATCATATAATCTCATACCTTGTTTAACCTTTTTCTGACTTGGCTTCTCAACCATGTCAATCATTCAATTTATTGCAATCATAGTAGTTCTATTAAAGGTTTCAATATAATTACACAAGTTATGAATTCATGCAGGGATATAGATTTTGCTGCAGCTCCAAAGTGTTTAATTGTATCAGGGTGGCCCTTACACAAGTGATGTTCATTCAACAACTAAAGGAGGATTCAGTTGAATATGCTTATAAGCCTTTCAGAATTCAACAAAACTTTGTTGTTCCTTTTCTTTCTGTTCTTCATTCCAATTCATTTGGGTCATCATTTGGACTTAAAGTATGGAAACCAGTTGACATCTGAAAATGAAATTAAAAAAATATCATCACAGCTCCAATTCACCCTGTTTTGTTTTTTTTAACCTCACAGCAAGCAATGTGCAAGCTAAAGATAAAAGACATCAACTGCAGTCATTTGTCATGGTCAAATCACTATCTGGTCACTTTGGGACTTACAGTTATTACTGTCCTTAGAGGGTGTGGGACGATTAAGATAATTTATCCCAGGTACCTTATGGATCCAATCAGTTTCCTTATACACATGGGAAATTTCTCAGTGATCTAGTGGACAGCTGAGTTCTGTAGCAGGGAAGCAGCAGAAGTGTTCAATAGGAGTACTGCCAAGTGCCAATCCAATTCAGGCCGACATCATTGCAGTACAATTCTAATACTTTTCTGCACTTATTACATTTGTAGAGTGCTGGTCAGCAATGCAACTCTTGGGATTTTTCTACAATAAATGCAGACAGTTGGATAGATGTCCATTTTTTATTGCCAATAGTCTCCTAAATTAGATTGTTTCTCTTACACTCAAAAAGTTGTTTGTTCCTATCCCATTAAATTTTCTTGGTCTTTTTCAGTGTCTACCAGCTTGTTGTAAAAGAAGAACGGCCACAGAAATCACGAAGAGCTGCAGACATCATTGAATGTTTTTCTGTTCCAGTGAGCTACAAAAATGCTTCAAATCTTGACTCCCCTCATTACTTTGCAGCTGAGTTGAAACCAGTCAATCTTCCAGTTACACAGCCTTTCACAGTAGGAGATAACAAAACCTATAATGGCTATTGGAATGCTCCACTTTCACCATTGAAAAGCTACAGCATTTACTTTCAGGCTCTAAGTAAAGCAAATGGGGTAAGTGCATCATGAGCAAAATCACTCAATTTAACAATAAATCCCCTGGATCTTTTAAAAAAAACAAACATGCCAAACCATGTGATTGTTTTAATATTTGATAATATGCTTCTTGTATTATTGCAAGTGTATTGGAAGTGTATAACATATTTGCTTGAAGTGGGTGGAATTTGAAATAATTGTCACTGTCCATTGCAACATAGATATTATAGAATAACAAACTTGGAAGGGACCTTGGAGGTCATCTAGTCAACCTCCTGCTCAAGCAGGAGAATTTATTCCAAATATTAGCCTCTACCTAGGATCGAACTCACAGCCTCTTGATTGTGGTGAGAGCTCCACTTCTAGGCCACCAGAGCAGATATAATATCCATGAGCTTGTTTGCAGTAGGAAACCAAGTAGAAAACTTAGCCAAGATCTTTTTGATGTAAGAGAAAAAAGACTCCACCCACCCCACCACTGTTATTCTGACCAAAATCTCTAAGAGGAAGAAAGACTATATTTTCTGTCAATAAACTGCAGAGTAAACCAGCACAAGAGAGGTTGCCCAGGCATAGAATTGTTGGGAGAAGGTGAAAATCTCCACTCAAGTTTTCTGTGAAGGTTAAGGAGAGGAACAATAAACATATATGTGTGGTTGTGATTTATATTCCTGTTTGAAGACCTGCACCTTCCAACTCATAAATAATGACAGCCCAAGAGCTAATATAATTCCAAATGACGCAGATATACCAAAACCAAAACAAAAAAAATCCAAGTTTACATTTCATTCTATAATTATTTAATAAGAGGTACCAGTTCTAACTGCTTCCAGCTGTCCCCTTTCCTCCCATCAACTTCACTTTATAAACATTGTTTGGTATTGAAATGGAACATTTAAAAAAATCCTCTTTTATTTGATCGCATTGTTAATCTAAAATTCTTTTGTAATAAATAGTATCTCCTATTTTCAACACAATTTCAGACTAGCCTCCTTTAATGAGATTTGTATCTATCTATTTATCAATGCCTAGCTCTTCGTCTTCCTGTGATATTTTAATTAAATATGAATTGGTCACAGTAAAAAATGAAATTTCAATGTTGATTTTTTTTCTTCAGGAGAAGGATTTACATCAAGTAATATAAACAGAATGGTTTAACAGGATAAAAATTGTAATCTCACTTCTGTCTTCATTTCTAATTATTGCTTTCTGCCCTTGATAAAGTTCTTGGATTTATTCTGAGGTTAGACAGCAGAATCCAGAATATTATGGCATCCTCAACAACCATAGACAGGATTCTCAGAATTTTTTTTTAAAAAAATAGAACAGTATGAGGAAAGGCAAGATATAAAGGCTTAATGTTTTAAATAAGTCAGTAAGAATTAAATGAATACATTAATAATTGCTGAAACCTTGTAAGGTTGTCAAATCTTGTGAGATTTTTATATTTACATTTAAAATATTGGTAATAAAAGCTGAGCTTTTAAGAAGTGCTAATGGCGAGATTGTCAAAAACTTTAAGACTAAAAAAAATAATTTGGTGCATCCAGAAAACACACAAGGTTTTTTTTGACTTTGTATTTCAATTGTGTGTCCTGTCCAAAGGCTATAGAGACCATTGGCTGTAATATGGTGGTATCATTGGCTGAAATTTGTCAACTTTAATCTGTTTGAGTGTACAAAGCACAATACTGATACCTTAAAAATTACAGAGTCTTAAGATATTTTGCTCCTCTCTCTCCATCAGAAAAATCATCTAGATGATTTGGAAGGGGTTTTTTTGTGTGTTTTTTTTTTTTTTTTGAGGGATGCTGTATTATGAATCTAATGTTTAAAGCACTCATTGTACTGCTTAAATCTCCTATACTGTTCAAAAATATGTTTATAAGGAGAAAGATTGAATCCCTGAACTCCACCCACTTGGCAGGATTTCTGGAATTTTAAATAACATGCCGGGGGCTGCATATTTCTACTCTTAACATTCCTGTGCATTGTTGCACAATCTCATTGAATCAGGAACCAGTTGTATTTTATCTATACAATTTTTTGCTTTTTCCCCCCCCTTTACACCCAACTCTGACATATTTCATTTAAGTAACTTGCTTTTGACAAGTCCAGAGTGAAAAAAATCACACATTCCAGTAAAAAGATGGTTTGTATTATAAAATTAAAGAATATTCAATTTCACGTATGTTCTATTTAGACTATCTTTGGGTGGAGATCCAGAAAATTCAATTCCTCTATGACAACCCCAAGACTAGAACACGACAATTTGGCACATTATCCCAAAAATGGCACATTGTGCAACAAAAGCCAAAGAATGGCTGATCTAAGTTAGTCACAATTTAACAGACATAATATGTAAATTTCTATTGTGTCATTTTCAGTGTAACAGTCTTAGCTAATGAGAGAAAAGACTGAATGGCTACAGTACAGCTTAACTTGGTCACAAACTGAAGCTCTAACATGAAAAAAAAAAACCTGCTTTTTTTTTTTTAAGGGGGGGGTGACAACTTTTTCACATGATTTAAAATTTAAATTTATTCCAAAGGAAATGTTACTGAGGTTTTAGAACATAGTATAAGTTAATGTTTAGAGGAAAACACCCATGTATTTTTAGAAGGAATAGGAATTCATAGTAGACTTATTATTATCTGAGCCTAATTTATAGTAGAAGGATATCAGATGACAAGAAGGCATACCTCTTATTAGTCATAATACAGAATTTAAGCAGACCCTGCCACAGCACAGGAATAATGCTAGGAAGAAGAAGACAGAATTTAATTCCAACCAAAACTAATAAGTAACTTGGTTTGGCAGTACACAGTGTTCAGATGTCAGACTTTGATCTATCCCTGTCCTTTATTTTATGTGTCACAGACTAATACAAATATGCCCACATATACCAATACTAGCAATATTATAGCTATCAGGTATCAGTACTGAAACACAAAGCTGAACTATTTTTTTTCCTAAGAAGCAGGGAAACATTATGGAATAAAGTAATTTTTCCCATCCACAATCTGCAGCACCACTGATTACTAAGTATAGCAATGTGGATTGTCCTCCTTGTGCAAACATTTAAAAATAATAAGAAGAATAATTTAAGGATTAGTGGACTCTCTGCAAGGCGATGTATCAATGTGTGAGAGGTGAACATCAACTCTTCTGAATTGCCAAATATGCCCAGCAACCAATTTCAGTTTAATGACAATTGGGTTTGGGACTTGTCAGAGCACTTCTGTCATGAACTCTGGAAGTCTGATACCTGAATGGGGCTTATGTTAAAATTTAGTGTAATTTGAAGCAAAAGAAAGTAAATAGAAAAATAAAGCCCTTATAAAGGCATTTTATCACTGGAAATTAGATCTGTCAATCATAAAACTCTGCCTGTGCCTCTGTCCATGCATCTGACTGAATTATTATTTTTTGATGGAAGTTTGGATGATTTTGTGGGACATTCAAATTATGAGGTTAAACTATTTTTAGACTCTCCTACTCTCTGAATCAGATTGTTTCCTTTTAAACTTGGAGGAAGTTTTGAATATGTTTGAAGTGGAAGATAATACCTTTTAAAAAATTAATCTGGTACAGTTGCTGTCTTGTGTTTGTCAGCTGGTAGAAATGATAGCAGTAGGACAGTCTACTTATAAAGAAGTATTCTAGGAGTAAGAAATTATACAATATGATATACAATAATACTGGCATCACCAGATGTAGAATCATGTTTTTAATCTTATCCCACCAGAAAATATATTTCCTATAATAAAGTATTGTTCTATTTTTTTAAAATTTGATAGAATGCTATTATAATTTTATATACAATAATTTATACAGGCAAAATGTGCATAAAATAGCCACATTAATAAAGTTCTTTATATACAATCATTTATTCAAAATCTGGTACTTGAAGACATATGTTTTACAGTATAAAAGAGAGGAAGAAAGTGGCATTTGTATTTTATTACCACCCAACAAATATTTCTTTGTCAGAACCATAAAGACAAATTGCAAGGTATAACCTGATTATATATCATTTGGGTATGAATTGTGTGTTCTTAAATTATGCATAATTTTTGAACAAAAGGTATGTAGATGAGTCTAAATCAAATATGTAGGGTTTGCAAAAATTTTCTATAATTTATATTCTCACATTTTTTTCCAAAAAAGAAAAAAAATTAAAAAAAAGAAAGAAATGAAATGATTGGTAACTGTCCCTAACACTTTTCTGTAGAGTTTAAACATTTTTTTCAAGTTTTATATTCTTATGCTAGACAGATCTTTTTCAAATATGCATTTCCTTGTATATATTTGTGAAGGTGTCCAAGTAGAGTGTGATGGACAGTAGAGGACTCTATTTATGCCAATGTATTTTTGTTCTTTTTGCAGACTGCACCATTTCCCTTTCACTAATGTGCATATTGAATTTAATTTATATCCCCAATCTTTTCCCTGACAATGGCACTCAGGTTTTATGCACAGTGGTATCAATTTGCATTTAGTAGGGCTGAATACTCTTCAAAAGTGATTTGAAGTGCTTCAAGTCTCATGCAGAAGAGACTTTCTTTGCTGTTCATTAAAGTAACCTGATCTTGTTTCAGGTTTCCATATAAGTATGAAAAAAAAAAAAAGGATATCCTGTAAGGAATTCATCATCAAAGTTCGGGTGACTCTTGAAGCAATAGGAATCTGAAAAATATCATGTTCCCTTAAATGAATAGTAGATGAGGAATGTATGCTTGCATTCAGGTCAGGTCCACAGCATTTCTAAACCTTTTTCATTGTGTGCACAGTTCTATATTTATTATGCTAGGCATAGATATTCCAGAAATATTCTTTATGTATGACTCTAGCTGAAGGATATTGTTCCTTCTTAAATGCTTCATAAAGAAACAATCTGATGTCCTTTCATGTTCTGTCATTTGCAGGAAACCAAAATAAATTGTGTCCGACTAGCCACCAAAGGTATGTTCAAGATCTCTTTCTCCTATCTTTAAATTATGGAAACAAATTCCTGCAGTGATGTAAAATACAAGTACCTTTATGATCTTTAAGATGCCCCTGAATGTTTCTTTTGTTACCAGAGAATAACAGGGCTGCCATAAAGTGGAATATCCATATGTTGACTTAAACCAGAAAAGCCACTGTTTTTTTTTAAGTTCGCTTTTTTCCCTCTACTTTGTTTCAAATAGTTCTTATGCTTTTAAGAATACCACACTCCAGGCAGAGCTTTCAGTTTTGATAATTATATGGAAGTGATAATCAAGCTGGTAAACATAATTCAAAAGAGAGCACATGCCTTGATTTCCAATGAGAGTGTTTTCACAATATCTAAAAGTTCAGTCTTGATTTGTTCAAGTTCTGTGATGTGCCTCCAGGGACCTGGACAAGAATGACTTAAAATTAATGGTAATTTAAAATGAGAAATCAAACAATTGGCCACATACTAGTGTCTAACTTAATCTAAACAGAATAGTGGTACTTTGCTAAATCAAACCATTGGCCACATACTAGTGTCTAAGTTAATCTAAACAGAATAGTGGTACTTTGCTAAAATAAATTTGACATCCCTCAATCTAAATGACAGAGATGTGATTCCTTTGGAAAGACATGAATCAAGCAGGTAGCTTTGCCAGCAAAGGTGTCAATAGTACAATTTATTTGTAACATAAACTAAAATTAGAGAAATTCATGTCTGCCAAATAATTTTCCTCAGTAAAAATGTCCTTGAACACAGTTGCAGAAATGGGGAGAATGTGCATATTTTAAAACTGTATTACAATCAGTTTAATGTAGACATTTTCCCCAAAATTTCACTTTGGTACCAAGCTGAATAATAGAATTATTATTATTCAATTTATGTCAATGCCTATTTTCTCATGTTATAGTTTTATTTTTTCTGTAATTCTATTCTTGTAATTTTATGTGAAATCTAATGATCACTGTCAAGATGTAAAATTCACTGAATATGAACATAGTATTTAAATATTTGGGGAAACCTCTTCTTACTGTACAATAATTAAGGAGTAAGACAAGTAGCTATCTATACATTTAGTGATTTAAAATAATGTTCCTGAATAACAAAACTGTTATCAGTGGAGTCATGAATATCTTCATTGGTCTCTTATTTTAAAGGAAATAGCTAGAGCATAGTTATGAACCCCAATAAAGGAGTCCGTCATAACATTTAAACTTCATTTATAGGTTAGCCTTTTGCTCCACAATATATTTTTCACATTGACAATAAAGTTTATTGGTTTTTCTTCATTAGCTATAGTTACAACATCAAAGGGTTGGTTTAGCAACCCCAATTCCATTCCCTGTTTCTATGATACTGACTTTATCTTGTCTTTACACTATGATTTACACAGACTTATCCTTCTGTTTTCTATATCACAGAATACTAACTAGCCACAAAATGAAAAAAGTCAGAACAATTCATAATTATACTGACAGCTGTTTCCATCAGCAAAAGTTATCTTCTACTTAAATTCACCACTATAAAATGCCTCCAAACTGAGGCATAATACATTTGTTTAGTTCCAGCTTAAAATAGTGAGATTTGTAAATTCAGGTTTGTGGTTTATCATTATGTGTAAACCCAGCACCTATGACCCATTCAGCATTCTTCCTTTTCTTGTGCCATATCCATTATTGGATGTTAGCAATCCTATGATCATTCAGTATACCTTGGTTAAATCAAAGCTTTGAAAAGGCCTGTGATGATCTCAGATTTTAGTCACTGGATCACATCTGAATGTAATATTTCTTTGTATTATATCCCCTGCTTAAAAAGGAAAGGAATTGGTAAAAAGTCTTGAAACATTAATGCAGAAATATCTGTCTGAAAGCCATGCTGTGGTAACAGCAACACAAGGAGGTTTTTCTGCAACTGTCATGAAATTAAAGAATCAGATTAAAATGACATCAAAAATCCTTTTAAAATGTGAGTCATGTTAAATTGGAGACAGAAGAAAAATATTAATTATTCAGACTTGTCATCCAAAGGCTTTCCCTTCTAATTTGCCCAAAAATTAATGAAAGTAAAAGAAGAAATATATTTTTGGGGTGGTAGAATTTTTAGCATTTTTCACAGCTTCTCTCCTGAGCTTAGAAAAAAAAACAGTCTACATCTGTATTTAGAAAAAAAGAAAAGAAAACCAAAACAATGGGATCTCAGAGTGAACAACATTGAATATGTAACTGATAAGGCTTATACCAGCTTGTATAATGGGGATAATTTATTAAAACTTGCTTCCATTTTGCTAAGGAGCAAAATATACAAAGCAGGTTTTGAGTATGGCTAAACCAATTGTAATTGGCAAATGATTAGCAGGTGACTTTCAGTATGATGCAATCATGTATCTATGTATCAATGGCCTTTGGGGTATTTGTAGAAGTATATGCAATGGTGAAATTCAGTATTTTTATCCTTCCTATCAATTTAATTTTATTTATAGGTTTTCAAATAGAAAAAGTATTTTAATTTAATATTATTTATTGCACAGAAAAAAATAAAATATTCTAAGGAAAACAGAAAGACAAAGAAAAGAAAAGAGAACATGCTGTAGATAACCAAGCATTTTAGAAAAAAATATAAAACCTAAAGATGACCTAGGTAAAAAGAAGTGCTAAGCCCAACTCAAGTATGATAAAGCTGCATGTACAGTTATCATTCATATATTATTTTAAATGGTTATAGTTTGGTGAAGTTTGAGAATCCTAAAACGTCAGTTAATTTCTCAGTTGTTTAAGGATTCATACCAAGAAATTTGGATTCTCTACTTTCTCTTTAATGCCTGAAGTAGACTCATAATTAATATTTTTTCCCAAAATAGCATAGAAAGATTACTTTCCCTCTGATTCCCCTGTTCTTTTGTAGAAAAAAAAATCTTCTTTTAAAGAGAAATTGTTTTTAGCAATGGGGTGTGAAAGTTGTAATGTAAGTATAACAAGGAAAAATCTGTACTGTTAGGCATCTATCAAAAGAGTTTGAAAAGAAACATGTAAGCATTTGAAGTATGTGGCAAATTAGTATATATGCTTGTGATCTATTAATTGCGATCTGAATAAAGAAGGAATTCTAGAAATAACACTAATGTGTAATAAGAAAAAAGTTAGAGTGAGTCAAAATTGAGCAGTGGATACAACATCAAAGTCATCAATACCTGGTCAATAAGTATGAAACAAAATAGTTCTGGAATTAACAGGACAAAAGCAGAACTGGACAGTTTGGATCAAAAGATAGAAAACTGATGACTATTTACTATGCATTATATTCTTTTAATATTGATAGATTGTACCTGCCCTACAAAAATGGAAGCAGAAGTTCCAATTCAAACAAACTGTTGAAGAAGAAAAACATGTATTAGTCGGTTATGTAAATGACAGTCAAGAACTAAGCTAAAAACTGAAACTTACTAAAGATACATGATACAAAACATGAATATTAAAATAATTTAATAAAAACACAAATAGAATTTTGGCAAGGAAAAGCACATCATGGTCAATTTCTCCAAAAGATCAAGGGGAAAGTGGATAAAGATAAAACTGGCAATGGCTTAGAACTGAAATATTTGCAAAAAAATGTTAACAAAAACGAAGGTTTGATTTTGGCTACTCAAGAGCAAGCCATTTGAACTAATGCAATCAAAACCATAAATTAAAATATCATCAAATGATTCAAAGTGCATATTGTGCAAAGAAACAGAAGAAATATTACATCAAATGTTGAGATTTTTCAACATCACATAAACATTAAAAAGAACAATGTAACAGTTACTGAAATTATTCATTGGAAAAGTGAACAGTAAATTATCATGTGTCAGTACAGAAAAATTGGTGAGAACATAGAGTTGAAAAAAGTAATTTCCAATATTGTATGATTTTTCAATACAAATTGATGAAGTCTTAGTTTATAACATGTTCAGCTGTGATGGGAAAAAAAAGAAAATATGGATAAAAATTTGGCAATATCAGGGGATAGTAGAATATAAAACAAAGAATTGGAGAAGATTACAAAGTATCAAGTTCTGGAAATGAAAGTTGAAAGGTTTCAAGATGTTTGCTGCCATCATATAATAACCACATTATAGAGGCAGAACATTTAAAGGATCATCTTTTCTCCATCATTTCTGCTTGTCCTAGAAAACCTGATCAAGTGGATACATTTTGTGTCCAATTCTTTAATCAATGTCATCTAATAGAACCTAGGAAGTATGCTTTCTTTTTTGTAGTGCCTTCTCTTTGGAGTAGCATCACCCCGGAGATTTGAACTGCCCCCATCATACAAGGTTTCAGATTATTTCTAAAAAGTTGACCTGCATATAAACCTCAACCATTTTTATGCAGGTTCCTAGTTTATGCAGAAGTCAATGAACTGTATATGTGAAGACTTTCAACCTATATTTAATGATGCTAAACATGTAACAGGAATCTCTTGAGTTATATCTGTAAAGATGGAGTTTGCTTGGAGTAAAACACTTGATTAGAAATTATGACAAAAGTGCCTGAGGTGCAGTCATATGACCACAAGAGAGGGACAGTTCAGTGGTGGAATTCAAATTTTTTTACTACTGGTTCTGTGGGCGTGGCTTGGTGAGCATGGCATGGCTTAGTGGGCATGGCAGAGGAAGGATACTGTAAAATCTCCATTCCCTCCCCACTCCAGGGGAAGAATACTGCAAAATCCCCATTCCCTCCCTGCTCCTGGGGGAAGGATACTGTAAAATCCCATTCCTCCCCACCCCACTAACCTGCTTTCCAGCTCCGTTCACCTATGAAGGGCAACAAAAGAAGACCCAGCCAATCAGCTGGGACTCAGGAGGCAGAGAATAGATGGGGGTGGGGCCAGTCAGAGGTGGTACTTGCCAGTTCTCCAAACTACTCAAAATTTCCGCTACTGGTTCTCCAGAACTGGTCAGAACCTGCTGAATACCACCTGAGGACAATTGTTGGAACTTTGACACTGGGTTTCAAGTACCTCCAGGGAGACCATAACTTCAAATGGTTACTAAGCAACTAATCATAAATTTGATGACTACCTCTACCTCTACCTTTGATGACTACCTTTATATAAAAATAATAAAGGTGGGATACAAATAAATATATTAATAAACATACAATATAAGTGTGTGGACCTGTCATAAGTCCCTTTCATAAGCACTATGGTAACTTTTGGTCAGTAAATAAATGATCGTAAGTAAAGAACTTCTTGTGCTTTTTGCACATTCTTCTCTCTTCTGAGGTAGTGAAAGATTAGTAACTTCTTTCCATTTATAATAGCAATAGCCTTTAGACTTATATACTGCTTTACAGTGCTTTACAGCCCTCTCTAAGTGGTTTACAAAGTCAGCATATTTCCCCCAACAATCTGGGTCCTCATTTTATGGACCTCGGAAGGATGGAAGGCTGAGTCAACTTTGAGCCTGGTGAGATTCAAACCACCAAATTTTAGGCAGCCAACAGTCAGAAGAAGTAGCCTGCAGTACTAACCACTGTGCCACCATGGCTCTTAACAATGCACTTAATCAAAAACTGCTTCTCCAAAGGAGGTCTATTTTTTCTCTGATTTCTTTTTGCCCATCTTCTACCATTCCTGAATAAACTGGGGAAATATCTGGTCTTATTGTGAAGCCTTATAGTCTTCAGATATGGGATAGCATTTCCAGTTACAACCATTAATTACCAGTGCCGCTAAAATGAAATATTAGAAGTTGGTATAAAATGTCAAGATGTATTATGTTACTCTTAGTAAAATGTGTATCTAACATAAAGCCCCATGATAATTGCTAAGGAACCTAGAAAACAAGTCAAGATTAATTCTTTTTCATTTCAGGAATTTGGATGAAATAAAAAATGAAACTCTCTATCATGAAATTAAATAAGGTGGGCTGGGCTGAAACAATTTAAAGAGGGGTGGGAAAGAAAGGTAATATTTAATATCAGCATCTGGAAGATACTTTCTTACCTTACCAATTTCCATTATTTCAAGACAGTATTCCTTCCATGGTAGTCAAATAATCTGCAGGCAAGATGAATTCATTCTGGGGGGGGGGGGAAGTATGCATGCAAGTTTCCCATTATACGATGCAATCCCTATTTTATTTAGGAGAAAACTGGCTAGCAGGATTTTCTGTCATTTCTGTGTTTCTGGAACTTTAAAAATAATGAAAAAGAAGAAAACATTGATAAAGAAATTAATTCTTTTTTCCATAATCATTTGGAAATCAACTCATGACTACTTACCCTGAAACCCAAATATTCACCCAATTAAAAAATGAGGCATGGACATTTTGATCAGTCCTTGAATAAAGCAAAAATTGTCTTCTGAAGCAGTTCAAAGTTTAGTGACCACAACTCTGTTGTTAGGGGAAGGAGTTGTCTGTCAAGCCACAACTGTGTTTACTTCAGCTTTTCTCTGCTTTACAGACCTGTGAAGGTCGTGAATGCAAGGATTGGTTCTAAAGTTACTTTTTCATCACCATCATAAATGCAAACAATCACTAAACAAGTTGCCAAACAATGACTACCTGTACCCTTCATGTGTATATGTGCATTTATAAATTTAACAAAAATGCAAATAATTTTCTTTTCAGTTAAGTCAGCTGAAATGAAAAGTATATGCGTCTGATATTTATATGCAGCAGATCCCGTTTTATTCCAAATAGTGAATTTCCTGAATTTATTATAATGTTCAGTATATTACAAACACACATGCAGACAATATGATTGATCTACTCATTTGAGCTACTGCAATACCCTACATATCCCTCAAATGAATATAAAACTATCTTCCTTTTTTCTTTATTATTAGTAGAATCTGTTTTGTGCCTTTAGTCTTTTTCATACTTGAACTTGTATCCATGACAAACTAGTTATGTTTAAATGAGAAAGAGGTGGGACTTTATCCAGATTTTTTTAAAAAAAAAAATACAGTGAACATGTTTGTCAACCTTAATGTGCATCATTAGTAAAGCAAGCATTCCTTTCAAATAAGATAATAATTAAGCCTCAATTTATTTGTTCTCTGCCATAGAATTTTAATTGTAAAAAAAAATCTGTTGTTGCATCCTTAGTTTCTTTAATGATATACTGTAAATTTTATATTCTTTAATCTGGTATGGGTTTCTTTTTCTTTTTCTCGTGTTAACTAATTTTTTTCCCTTGACTTCAAAAAATATCTGTTAGCATTAACACTTTATTTGTGAAAATTGCATTAGCTTATGAATGGTATGCAATTGATTCATGTAATGCAGAACATATTTCATTAATTATAATTGAAACCCAGGCAGAGAGCTCATAAATGGTTCTTTATTTCATGTGTGTGTGTGTGTGTGTGTGTGTGTCTGTGTGTGTGTGTGTATGTATATATGTATATATGTATATATGTATATATGTATATATGTATATATGTATATTAAAATTTTGAGTGCAAATTTTCAGGATTAAAATGCAATTTTTTGAAGTGGCACATTTTTATTTTTATTTCCTTTTTTCTTTTCTCTCTCTCATGCATGCTGCCTGGAAACTGTTTTTCTTGTTCTTAGCAGTAATAGGTAGGCAACAGGTGACTACCCGAAACCCACCCAGCCTCATGAGCACAGGTGACTATCAGTACAGGAAAGGAACTGTCATAAAAATGCAAACATTTTGACAGTTACTGGATTGTTATGTCATATATTGTCTGCATGTTGAAACATGTACGCTCTCATTTATCATTCTGATTTGTTTAATAGCATATTTCTTAATAATTTTACACTCTGCCAGCATCAGTGCAGTTTGAATATCTGCAGAAAGCAGTTAAATAATACTTTCATCCAGAATGACACTCCATTGCCAAACTAGCCTTAAAGTTTCAGATATAATACTGGGAGGTAGTGATCTTTGGATTATTTATCTCAATATTTTCCTAATAAACAAAGCAAGTTGGTAGCAGTATTTCTTTTTAAAAAATGAGAATCAAAAAAGGATATAGGAAAAAAAATAAAGCCAGAAATAAAGAATTAGAATAGGGTTAAATATCTTTTGAGATGGGCTGTCAGGATAGAAAATATTACACTTGTCAGAAAACAAGCAGTTTAATTTTTGAGTTGATATACACAGCATGTTTAATTTGGCTCCTTCATGAATTTTGTCAAAATCTTGTCTAGTCCATACCACAAAATGGAATCCAAGGAAGTCTAAAATTATATACGTATATACATATAATTTTATGTTTATTTATAATTTTATAACAAAGATGAGCTATGTTCAGTTAAATAAATGGAGTTAGCTTAAGTTTGCTATCTTTGAAATGGTTCCAAGCATCAATTTCTTTTTGATGCTAATGAAAGCAAGCAAGAAAATTATGTTAGCATTGCTTTATTCCAAATAGAAGGAAGAATCTACACTCAGTTTTGCTTTGTAAAAGGTTCTTTGACTCCCCTCATAACACAGGAGGATGTTATTTTTTCTATTCATTCCTCTTTCTGAATAAGGAATGCATACAGTTGCATAATACAAATTCAGGAAAGGGTTATAATATATTTGCCATTTATTCATATTAAGGAGAGTGTTTTGGTTGGTAATGGAAAATTTCTCTGTCACATTTTCCAGCATGTTGAACCTTTGAGGAATTGCATGAACAAGCTAATAAAGCCAATATATATTTATCCAATGAAAATATGGGCAAAAATTATCTTTCTGTTTTCCCTCAATATTCAATGTAACATGATTAGGATTGTGGTACTTGTAATAATATCAGAGTATTACTTGTAGTTGTACAAAATATGAGGGCTGGTTTGGTGTAATAGTTATGGTACCACAATACAGAATAGTAGATCATGACTTCTAGTCCAGCCTTAAGCACAAAACCAGTTGGTTGACTGTGGCTCAGGCATGCCTTCTCAGCCATGTGAAGAAGACAAAAGCAAATCATTTTCAAAAAGATTTCAAGAGACTAAAGGGACTTGTTTAGGCAGTTTCTAGAAGTAAAGTTTGATATAAAGACAACATAATCGAAATCAGAAAGAAACTTTCAGGTGGGAACATGAAAGGAAAACAGCTATTTTTTCCCCTGGAAGCCTGGAAAAACTTAACATCTGAGGACAATTACTAAATAGCAGTCCAAATTTGGGTTTGGAAGGCAATATGCTACTACACTATTTGTTTTTAGGCAGAATTTTAATGTTTCTTCTTGATATGCTCCTACAAGCATTTGTTGTAAAATAGAAAAAGAACCCAGTAAATAGGACATCCATTAATCTCTCTGAGTGCACATTGAGATAAAGCCGCAACAGACATCATCACAACTTGTAATTTGCTACTGGCAGAATGTATAGGAAATAATAGCCTCTAGAACAAAAAGAAAGGCAGATTTACCCACTCCTCAATATATGAATAGCTATATAACATCAAAAATCTGTTCTTTTAAATAATATTTAATTTACTAGGATTTCTTCTTTGTATTATTAAAACAATTATGTTGTTTGTAAAATATTCTTTTTTCACTTAAGTCAAATCTATTATTTGTTATTTGTCTTTTCATGTACTTGGACACAATTCATTTGACAAGTTCTTTCTTTGTTCTGTTTTCACACAATTTTGGTGCATTACTTCCTAGGTTAGATTGACTGTGCATAATCACTCCAAAATATATACTAAAATCTAGATTTATTTCTTGCCGTGATCAACTTGAGGAAATAACAATAGTTATATTCAGTATAATAAATACTTAAATTTGACATGCTTGTTCAGTTTATAAGAGAAACTTTTTTTAAAGAATTATCATAATGTTTTAAAATGTTCTTGTGCATTTTGAGAGTTCATAATCATTGAACTGAAACGTTTCTTAATATTAAGTTTCAGCTGTAAGTATTAAAGAAATGTTTGAAACAATCACCAGAAGATTCAGAAATAGCGAACACTTTACATGAATGTAAAAATGACCTAGAGAATATTTCCTTTATTACATAAAGTAGGACAAATGAAAAGGATAGTTTGCAGTAAATCACTTATCCAAAATGGCTATACATTTTGCAGAGATTTGTTCAGTTTATTGCAACCTATATGAAGAAAGGAAGAAGCATTGTAATGAGGGAATATTACACTTTGATCCTTGAGGAACAAAAACTGTTTCAACAAAACAACATAAAGTACAAGTTTCAATTATCTCTGGTTATTTCAAAAGGTTATAATTAATATATTACAGCTATCCAGTGTCTTTAAAGCTAAGCTTTCAAATTCATGATAAGACCATACTCCTGTTAATAAACCACCCTCAGCTTTTGTGAGTACTTATTCTGATTCTGCTATTATCATCCTTAATACATCACTACATTTTGCATGTATTTGCTAAATAATACATGCAATATAATAAACTTTTAATAACAATGCTTTGAAAATACAGTTTTTGAAGAAGGAAGATTTATTTACACTGGTCATGACTCTTTTGTGAGCACTTTTGGAAAATATGGAATTGGGGATAATTTTGCAACCAGGAAACATTCACACAGAATCAGAACTGCCTTGTGTTATCTATTTCATGCCCATTTTTTGTTTTGCAAGTAAGAAAACAACCTGATTTAAATTTATTAAACTAACACCATGGTTAAGGGCATGGTTAAGGGATTTATCTCAGTGATGAATCTATGTTTCTACCTCACAGTAGCAAAGAAATCTGTGTAGTAAACTTTTTAAAATCTTTGACTAAAAGTTATTATTTTTAGAAATTTCTCAGTCCAGTTAACAGAATTTGAGAAGGCTCAGGTACTATTTCATTTCACTGTACATCTACAAATTCCATCTCTGCTTTGTATATTTGTTAACTATTTTTATGTATAAAATAAACATTTTCCACTTGAATTGGTAGAGTGACATGTGTTTCTATACAAATAAAATGTTATAAGGAAAGACATTTCCTTTTGACTCCAGGAATTATGACATTTTTTAATACAGATAGACTAGATTATGTCCAATAATTTACCATAACAGAAAAGTATGTATCATTATATCATGAAATAATAGTGTTTCCTGCTGTTAAATTGTTCTTCGTGTTAAATAATTTCCTAATAGTTAAATAGAATTTGATTGGTTGCAATTTAAGTCTATTTTCCCATGATTTGATTTTAGAAATGTTGAAAAATAAGTCATATCTTGACCAACCTTATAGTAACATATTTGAAAAATGTTGTTGCATCAAGGCTAAACATATTCAATTCCTTTAATCTCACAATAAAATGTTGCTCAAGATGGCAAGTATGACAAACATCAGATGGAGGAGAATAATTATTACCCATTACCCAGAAACTATAACTCCATTATTGCAATTTAGCAAAAGCAATACACTTACACTTATATACCGCTTCATAGTGCCTTATAGCCCTCTCTAAGTGGTTCACAGAGTCAGCATATTGTCCCCAACAAGATGGAAGGTTGAGTCAACCTTGAACCGATCTAACTACTGCATTGTAACCACTGTACCACCACAGCCTTCTGCAGTTAAATATTATTGTAGTATTTTTTTCACAAGTATTATTAAGAAACCAAGAGTCCTTCATGAACATATTCCAGGATAATGTTGCAAAATCCAATCTGGGTCAGTCACTGAGACCAGAGGTTTGGGCTTGGGCTTGACAGCACAAGGAAAAAAGTCCAAAAGCTCAGTAGAATAAACCTCTTGTACTGGTTACTGACCCAGATTGGATCTTGCAAGAATACCTCATTTTATACCTATGAATCTGATCTCTTTTCCTTAAAGGAAAAATATCACATCTGTATTAATTTATTTTCAACCCATTTCATAAACTTATTGAAATCATGTTAACATAATTTCTGTTTTTAGCATATTAGTTGTCCCTCCCATTTTTTGTCAACTGTACTGCAAACTTAAGAAGCATTCAGAATTGGTTGCAATTATTTCTAAGTATAGGTATTTAGAAATAAAGATAAGGCTTGAGGTTTAGTAGCATGCAGTCCATGCAGATACTGTTTTATTAAAAACATGTTTTTAATATGGGAAAACTCACATGATAAAGTGGTAGGCACCAAGGGCATTATCAATGAGACATGAAATTTGTATATAGCCAGATATATAATTTTTAGAAAATATAACTTAAAGCATTAATTACTTTGGGCTTGAAGTCTAAAAAATTCTAAGAAATTGAAGGTATAAGAATCTTGTGCTCAATTTTCTCACCGTGTTTCTGAAGAAATCTGGGATGGTAAATGTTAATAAAAAAGCAATATTCTGACACAAAGTCCTCTACAATTAAATTTATTGAACATTAAAAAGATTAGATTACCAAAATCTTGACAACTGAAAGTTCTCACTTTAGTTAATCAGCTTTCAGTTTATCTCTAAATTCATTAGAGTAGGCATTTCTAATTGTCTTCATTAAAACTGTCTGATGAACAGAGGAGTTGGCTAACCATTTTCCTGATAATAGAGGAGCTGCACATATACTGGGCTAGTAATTTTTTACAAACTATTATTCATTTTATCGGGCTTTGAAAACCCTAAATCTTGTTTTCGTCATAAGGGACTTTTGTGGCAAAGTTAATATTCGTTCACTGCTGAAAATATTAGGTGCCTCAGAATCAATGAACCCCTAATCTTTAAATGATGAAACAGGGCTTATAATTCAGTACACATACACATTCACACAGACATCACATACTTACACAGATGCACTCATATGCTACCATCTTTGCATTTTATTAACTTGCTTTTTCCATGAAAAAGCTTCATTGTACAATAGCTATCTTCTCAAAAAGTTCAGTTAGAATAGAATAACAGAGTTGGAAGGGACCTTTGGGGTCTTCTAGTTCCTGCCCTTGTTCAGGCAGGAAGTCCGATACTATTTCAGACAAATGGTTGTCCAATCTCTTCTTAAAAACTTCCAATGTTGGAGCATCACAACTTCTGGTAGCAAGTTTTTTCACTGATTAATTATTCTTTCAGGAAATTTCTCCTTACTTCTAGGTTGTTTGTCTCCTTGATTCGTTTTCATCCATTGCTTCTTGTCCTGCCCTCAGGTGCTTGGAGAATAGCTTGACTTCCAGCTAAAGTCCTACAAAATTTATTTCACATTTTTGTAGCTTAATTTCTGAACATAATGCTACTGAATTGCCAGTTGTGTTCAGGTCCTGAAAAGACAAAGAGAGAGATGAAGGAAGAAAGAGGTTGAAAGCTCCAGAAAGCTGGTAAAGCCAGCATCTTGATAAAACATGAAGAAAGTGTTTTGTAAGAATCACTTGTTAGCTTTGTATGTTAGATTGGTGTGTTTTGAGGTTTTATTAATATCAGTTATAAAATAGGTTTATGGCTCTTAATCTTTCCCCCTACCATCTCAAGACATAGCTTTTCTGGAGTGATACGATTGTTGACATGAGGAAAGGGGCATTTTTTGCTAGATTTCAGAAAATATTCCATGTTATAACAAAGCATTAGACTATACATCAAGACTGTGTAATACTTTTGTTTTGTAGGGGGAAAAAGTACTTTGAAGTTTGCCTTTTCTCCATATTATTCTGCAGCTAGATAGGAAAGCTGTTTGAACTTGGAAAAAAATGCAGTTGTGGTAAACCACTGCTGACAGTAGCTTCATGATCACCTCTGCATGACCTGAAATACATTTTTCTGTTTACCTTTTTACCTTTAGTGGTGCACAGCTAGGGCTTCAGACCTAAAGGGAAAAATAGAAACCCAATGAAATGAATCAGTTAAAAATGTAGCTTTTTTAAAAAAATGGAAAGTCTATTATAAAATTGTTCCAATACAAACAGTTTTAAAATTCTACCTTCTATTGACACCATGATGCAGATTTTTGTATATAATTGATAAATGCTATAGACAAACACAATATTTTTCCAGTTTTAAATGTTTAGCTGTTGATAAATTATGACATTTGACATGATACACATCTACAGTTAACTGAAGAACTTGGATAATTTATGTGTAACATCTTAGTTAATTTATCTATGGCAGTAACTATTGAAGACTTTAGATAATAGAAAATTAATTTTAGAAATTATTGGGGACTATTTGTATCATACTCTGTACTCCAGCCATTATTTTACTCCTCCCTGATAGTTTAGAGGATAAGTCATTAGGAAAGTCATATGAAAACCTATCTAAGTTCCTCAGCCTTACCAGTCTCCTTTATTTATGTTTTTATTGATTATGTGCCATCAGGTTGGTGTCAACTCTCAGATAGATTTCCTCTATGATCATCTGTCCTTAACATGGTCCTTCAAACATTCCAACTCCTCCTTTACCAATTGCCACTAAGTCTACGCACCTTGATGCTGGTCATCCTTTTCTTCTCTTTCTACTTTATAGTAGAATAAAATATTGGCATAAAATATTATAGCAGCTTAGTCTTCATATTATTAATTAAAAGAGCTGAATAATTCTATTGGTGTGGAGGAATTTTGACTGTTGCTCTGAATTTCATATCCCCATCCAACTCTTTGCGGAATAAATAAATGTTTGTTGTAGATTGGCTAAGGTGTTTAAGACAGTAGTATTTGTGCATTGATATTTAATTGCTGGGATTCTAATTTGTTGAGAGTCTCTTGCTTCTAGTGGCTTATAAATAAATAAACAAATACCATAGTTGATCATTTATTTAGATCATCCACAACAATAACAGTCACACACACATGCACGTGTATACACCAACACACTCAGACATAGACAAACACAGACATGCACACACACTTTTCCACAAAGACAAGCAGGGAAAACAGACAGAATTTCACTGTACTCTGATATGAAATGCACAATCTATCTTGCACTAATTGTTTATGTAGTAGTCACTGAGAATCAACTTCTTATATTTATTCCCCTAATTTTTTATATAGAGACTATGTGTACCTTGCAATAAGGAATGCAGCTTCATGCACATACTGAATAATGTTTTTCGACTGTAACCAGACAATTGAAAACTCTTCAAAATCTTCTGATGGTGTTCAATCTATATTCTTAGCAAACTGTATTCACCAAATACAACCTGCTTTACTTGATTTGGTTTGAGTGCCTCCAGAGATTAAAATCCAATTTTACCAATTTCATTTGAGTGTTTTCTGGTTTATTGGAAGCCCTTAAGGGCATGAGAAATGCCACTGCTATTACAATATGCTTCTGGACAATTGCAGCAGTTGAATGATATAGATCCTATTCAGATGGTCCCTTAATTGCTACATGCTGGAGGCAGTAATCCATAAAGTATAAGCTCTTAAAATGCTGTTCTACTAGTCATTGGGGATACTGGACAGAGCACAACAGTTACTGAAATTTCTGGCAGGAAGTCATAGCTAGGCATATTATCCTGGTTTGCTTCATTTAGCAAATGGAGCAAAAATATTTTTGCTGACTGAAAGTGAGAGATGCATATTTAGAATAGCTATTGATGTAAAATATGAGCACAGCTATATTTGCACTTTGAGCTCTTCCCACTTTTCAGTTATGAAGCTTTGGCAATTAAAATGGTATTATGCTATTGATGATGCAGCCATCAAAGCTCCAGGAATATGAGACAAAGGGTCTTCTCAATCTTAACACTCTTGTGTAAGATATATAATAATTTTCTTATAAAGAACTGGAAAGTTCACTCTGCTTTCCCAGGTTAGAAAGTGAGAGATTGTGAATGCAAGTCTCGTCTTAACCTGAAAGCCATCTGGATGACCTTGGACTAGGCATTCTCTCTTGGACCAGTTCACCTCACAGAGTTGTTGTTGTGAGGAAAATAAAAGCTGTGTTCAGTATATTGAGATATTTGTAAAAGTAATAAAAGTAGGATAATAATAAAATAAAATAATAATATTAAATACATACTTGAATTAATGGTGGTGATTATCCTTTTTTTTTTACTTGACATACTTTTCCGACATCTGACATCTTCATTAGACATAAAAAAGTGGTTGATCGAATAACAGCAAATCCCACTTTGTCCTACCCTGCCCCATCTTCCCTACTTGTTATTGAATTTTAATGGTTGCTTTTATTTATTTTTTAATGTGGATAGGTATTTATGATTGTAAACTTCCAAGAGTTACCCTGTGGTAAGATGGGTGGCCAATAAGAATAATAAATAAATAAATAAAATAAACAAATAAAATAAAAAAGAATGGAATACAAAATTACACTGTGTGGTAATACATGATAAATTTAAATGGGATTATGTTTGCCATTTAGTCTGTATATTACTGAATCTCTACATATTGTTGGAATGGAGAAACTATTTTTCTCATATTTGGGTCAAAGATACATCTCCATTATGGCCAAATACAGGTTTGGCTTTTTGTTGCATTTAAGCAGTTGTTGAAATCTGATTTACCTGGGATTTTTCAACAATGCTTTTATTTTCTCCTTTTCTACAACTTCTTAAGGAGCTTCTACACAGAATTCCAACATGGTGGAACCAGAAAAACAGGTTGATAATACGGTGAAAATGGCTGGAGTTATAGCTGGTCTTCTGATGTTTGTAATTATCCTTTTGGGAGCAATGCTTACAATCAAAAGGAGGTATGTTTCTAAGATCTCTACATTGCCTTGATTTGGGAATGTTTATTATTGCTGTTAACTTTTGTTTAAATATTTAGTGTTTTATTGATGCATATTTTATGCTTATTTGGGAATACAAAGAGTGAGACAGAGGTTTTTCCTCTTTTCAACTAATTTTATATACACGGCTAAAGGAAAGTCTCTTCTCTGCACGGGGATCTTATTCTGACTATATGTTGTGTGACTGTGATGTATGTATATTTTCCTTCAGCCATTTGATGGAATAACGAATTGTGATTTATTTATTACTATCTTGGTGAATGTGGGAAACATGCAGAACTTTTTGATATTTATTTACCACGGGGTGGTAAATAAGGGTGTTTAAATATATATTTATATGGGTGTTTAAATATATATTTATATGGGTGTTTAAATATATAAAAACCAATTTTAAGTCCTGAGTGCTCAATACATTGTGTCATATCCATAATATAGATTTTTGTTGTTTATAAATTCATTCTTTCTCCAAGAAAAGTCTGGGATTTATAACCTGCCAGTCTGGGAAAGAAAAAGTTGTCTGTAACAAAATGTACACATTTTCACTAAATTACACTTCCCAAGATTATTTGGTTGAAGATATAATTACTAAAACATTATTACAATAACAATAACAACAATAACATCAATAACAACAATAACAACAATAACAACAACAATAACAACAACAACAATTATTATTATTATTATTATTATTATTATTAGTAGTAGTAGTAGTAGTAGTAGTAGTAGTAGTAGTAGTAGTAGTATTTGTGGTTTATCCAGGTCAGCTTGTATTACCTGAGCAAGTCATTTCACTTAGCTTTAAAAAGAAAAGTAGCTTCTCACAGGTTGATTATACTTCCACCCCCTCAGATGTTCAATAGTGTACAAATATGTACACAATTTTATTAACATTACATGTTTACATTTTTCAAACTGGAATAATTCATTAGAAGAGCATTATATTCAAATTGTGTATGTTGGGTATGTGTGTACTTAAAGACTGATAAATATGCAGTTTATGTGTGATGATGTTGCTTGTCTGCTATTGTTATTACAAGCTATGACATGTGTGGGTTGCTTCCAAAAACTCCCTTTCTATTCTTTTTTGAAGGAGCGGTGCTGTAGATCAAAGGTGATTATTAATCTGCTAAGTGTGGCTTGACTGTGCATGCTCAAATGACAGCCATTTCCTCTGGACCATCCACTCAGATGAACAAACTTATTAAAATTTGCTTGAAAAAGAAGGGCTGTATGAGAGATTTGTTTTGGTACATATGACCACCACTTTACAAAATTGTTGCTGGCATGTATTAGAAAAAAAGTTTTGAAATAGGCCATCTTTTTTTGCATCTGTATATGCTTTCTATGTGAACCACTGGCTATCACATTTTGAACCAGCATAGCATGCTGAATTTCCTTGCTCTCATTTTATGATCACCATACCTACTACATACTCTGATTTAGTCAATCAGTTTCCTTTGCAGTTTCTAGCATCAAGGAAGCATTTTTGTATTGATTATATACAAACACTACTTCTACTTCAGCATAGTTAAAGAAACCCAGAAAATACCAGTCTGTGCCTATGATTGTCATGGGAATCTGCTCATACCAATAGATTCATTTTTCTTTTTTAGTTGTGTTTAATAACTGAACTCCTTTAAGTTTAGAACTACAGTACAATTTTCTTTATATGTGCTATAATTATAGATAAGTATAATTTATTGTATGTTCTATAATAAATGGTACAGGGGGAGGGAACCTTCTTGTTCCTTAAAAATGTTTTCTTAGAATTAAATCTATGTTATAGCAAAGACAAGCAGTCCATCAAAAAACTTGCATAAAATAAATTCTACTATACTAAACGCCAGTTCCCATTTGTCTCTATAAATCCTGACAATGCTTATTTATTTATTTATTTATTTATTTATTTTATTTGTCAATTGCTTACAAGATAATAGGTATAAGTATATACATACTTATGAATACATGAAATAGGTATATATAAGAAAAATAAAGAAACAATAGGACAGGGACAGTAGGAACATTGGTGCGTTTATGCACGCCCCCTACAGACCTCTTAGGAAAGGGATGAGGTCAATAGTAGACAGTCTAAGGTTAAAGTTTTTGGGGTTTGGGGAAGAAACCACAGAGTCAGGTAGAGTATTCCAGACATTGACCACTCTGTTGCTGAAGTCGTATTTCCTGCAATCAAGTTTGGTGCAGTTAACCTTGAGTATATATCTATTGTGTGCTCTTGTGTTGTTATGGTTGAAGCTGAAGTATTCATTGACAGGTAAGTCATTGCAATGTATGATTTTATATACCATACAAGATCAGACTGAAGACAGCGTAATTCAAGGTTTTCTAGGTCTAGAATTTCAAGTCTGGTGGCATAAGGTATTCTACAACAAGGAGAGGAGTGGAGAACTCTTCTTGTGAAATATTTCTGGACTTTCTCAACTGTGCTAATATCAGATACGTAATGTAGATTCCAGACTGATGAGCTGTATTCGAGGATTGGTCTAGCAAATGTTTTGTATGCTCTAGTTATTAGTATGATATTACCAGAGAAAAAGCTACATAGGATTAGGTTAACAACTCTTAATGCCTTTTTGGCTATGTAGTTACAGTGGGCTTTAGCACTTAGATCATTAGAGATGAGTATTCCAAGGTCCTTTACAGATCATCAACAAGGTCATGATTATTCAGCTTGTATTTTATTTTCTGATTTTTTTGCCAGTATGTAAGACAGAGCATTTATTTGTTGAGATTTGAAGTTGCCATTTGTTTGACCATTCTGATACATAGTCAGGATCTTTTTGAAGGGTAGCAGTATTGTCTGTGGTATTGAACATTACATCATCAGCGAAGAGAACGCAGTTGCTCTTAATATGATCACAGAGGTCATTTATGTAGAGTATGAAGAGAGTTGGTCCTAGAACACTGCCTTGGGGGACACCACTATTGACAGGTACATAATTTGATACTATACTCCCAATTTTGACCATTTGTTGTCTGTTTGACAGGAATGCTTCTATCCAATTATGCAGTTGTCCAAAGATACCATAAGATTTTAGTTTTAGGAGTAGTTTGTCGTGTACCACTGAATCAAAGGTTTTACAGAAGTCTATGTAGATTGCGTCTATTGTTTTGCCCTGATCGAGTTGTGTCGTCCATAAGTTTTTGCAGTGTAAGAGTTGCAGATTACAGGATAGATTTTTCCTGAAACCAAATTGTTTATTGGAGAGTAGGTTGTTTGTCTCTAAGTGGAGGATAATGGATTGGTTAATAATTGATTCCATGACTTTACAGGTGATGCAGCATAAGGAGATTGGTCTGTAATTTTGAACTAGGCTGGGGTCTCCCTTTTGGAAGATGGGGATGACTGTGGCTTGTGACCATAGGTTTGGCAAGGAGCTGGTCCTGGAAGATTTTTCAAAGATTATGCTTAGAGATTCTGCTATGGCAGTGGATAGTTTTCGTCTGGTCCAATAGATAGAGATGGTTTCGTCTGGTCCAATAGATAGAGATGGTTTTAGATTGCATAGTGCTTTTTCAACATTGTCTCTATAAAATCGATATGTATTAGATCATTGTAGTTTTCTATAGTTTGGCTAGGAAATACTGGGCATGATCCATTGCTGTTTACAAATACTGAGCCAAAGAATGTGTTAAAGAGGTTGGCTTTAATGGTGTCCTCGTTGCAGTCTTTACCATTAGGTCCTATCAGGGGTGGGATGGACCTTGAGTCTTTTAGTTTGTTGTTTACAAAATTGTAAAAAGCACAGGTGGAATTGGTGCGTAGAAGGTTTTCCTCTTGTTTAATGTGATCATTGGTGCATTCAGTTTTTATCTGGTGGCATAAATTTTTGTATCGGCTTTTCAAGTTGGCAATGTGACCAGATTTGTTTTTCTGCCAGAGTGATCTCTTTTGGGATTGAAGTTTCCTTATTGTTATGGGTAATCTGTTTTGTTTTTTGGGGGGGGGGAGTTGTTGTTGGTACATATAGTTTGATGACGCTTTTGACTTCAAGCAACCTACAAATATAGCTTATAGACAGACATTCAAATTTTGTAAAAATATATCCTGCATACATTTTTGCACTTGAATTTAAATTCAGTTTGATGAATTAAATACTATACATTTTGCCACCTCTTTTGTAGTTTCTCTTGCTGAAAATGGCGGGGGGAGGGAATAGCCCTCTAGAGAGGTATATAAAATGATTGAATTTGAACGCTTTCAAATTTGGAACCATTTCATTTTTAATTCAAACATTATTTAATGTGTGAACCATCTATTTGACAACAAAACAGCTGTTTGATGATTTTGGAAGGATTTTATTTAACATAGACTGGTTTGCACACAAAGCTCTTTAAAGTTAGACATTTACTCTTGGGTTGACCATTTTGGATTGGAAACAGTGAACTTACATGATGCTATTCATCTGTAGCTTCTTGCATTAAATAGAAACAAATTAGGAAATTTTATACAACTAAGCTAAATTTGAGGGCATTTGTTCATAGACTTGTTTTTTTCTCCACTAATTCCAATAAAATATAATTGAAGCAGTAACTGGTAATAAAATATAATTGAATAAAATATAATTGAACTAATAAAACTAATATAACTAATAAAATATAATTGAAGCAGTAAATATAATTAATAAATACTAAATATAAATTAAATATAATTAATACATGTTTTTTATATATGAATGATTTTGTATGGAATCACATTCTACCTTTATTTATTTATCAGTAACCATTTTGTTTGAATATTAATTACATTTCATTATGCTGCTATTTATCATCTAATTGTTTTAAAGTATACTTATATGAAATTTAATAGAATAATTCTCAAATGGAAGGAAAAAAAGTAATTTATATGTTTTCTTACTACAGTTATTTATCTTTCTTATTTATCTGGCTAAGTGTAACCAGATTAGAACAAAGTTTTTGTATAACAAAAACGTGTGCGTGGTATAAACTAGAACTTATACAAATATGGCAAATAAAACAATAGCAATTACAGGTAATTAATATTGTCACAAAAATACTGAAAACTATGCTTCATGTTGATCTATATTCCATAATAAACTTAATGACATATCGAAGTATCAAAAATCTTGAGTATGCAAAGATACATCTGCATATACAGTTTGGTATTGGTTCCAGTTCTAGATGCCACACTGGAAAAAAGATTTAGAAAAATTGGGAGTGCTTCCAGAAAAAGCAATGAGAATAACCAGGGGGCTAGGAACTGAATTCTATAAATGAAGTACCTATAGCTATGTTTAGCCAGAGAGATGTAGGGGATATGATAGTATTGTTACAATATTTGAACATTTGTAATGTGGATTTTCTTTTATTTCAGAATAGAGGACAAAGAATAATGGATATAAGTGAATAGGAGGCAGATTCACCTTAAATTATTGTGGGGAGGGAAACCTGCTCCAAAGTAAAGGCAATGATCCTGAGGACAGATCAGCTGAAAGAGCAATTAATGGATCGAAAAACATTGAAAATAATTTTCCTGTCTGCTTTTTCTTAACTGCTTTTTATCTAGACAGAAAAGGGCCATGTACACTATAAACTTAATCTTGTTTTACTAATTGACTCCTAATGCCTTAGGTTTAAACTATTTTTTTTTCTGTGAGGGTTCTGCTTTCCCCATAGTGATGTATGACCAGGATGGTAGTTAGCAAATTTCTAACCTACTATAATGAACTAACTTCAGAAAATGTAGGATTGACAGAAAGGTAAAGCTTGCACCCCAAAATTTAATATATATTGTGTTAAGACCATTAGTTATTTCTGTACAAACACATTTTTGGGGGTTCTGTACAAACACATTTTGGGGGTTTCATAATCTTGTACACAGTCAGTTTTCAAGCAATAATTAAGAAAACATCAATAGGGGTCCACCAGCTTTAACAAAAAGGATTTTGGTTCAGTTGTCTTTTGTCACTTATAAAATAGAAGCAAGCTAGAAATAGACATTAAATAGGGCTATCTTGTCAACAAAATCTGTTGATGCCCTGAAGTTACTTTTATGCCTTCTTCTAATCAAGTAGGTCAGAAGTTATACAATCATTGGATCACAGTGGAAAGTATTGTCATATTGAGAGACAT